GGAGGAGGGAGGAGGAGGTAACCGACAGGAGCGGTCAAGGACAGCAGCAGGAAGAGGGGGAGTAGAAAGAGGGGAGCGCACCTCAGCAAGGGCAGCAAACGAGAGGGAAGCAGGGGCCAAAGAAACCTCCCTAGCAGGAACAGGGGGCGTAACCACCGAAATGGCGTAACCACGTAGGGGGCGTAACCACCGAGATAATAAACAGGGAACTTACAAACATTCCATGGGGAACTGTTCTAAATAATACAAGTCCTACAGAAGGAATAGAAAAACTGACTTCAGAAGCGTATCAAGTCTGTCTGAAACATGTTCCTTTGAGGAAAGCCAGAAAGAGATCTAACGTAGAAAGAGAACGCAGACGACACTATAAACGCAGGAAAAAAATAACGGAACTGCTTATGCAGACACGAATTTCCCGTCAAAGAAGGAATAATTTAAATAGGGAGATTGAAGAAATCGAGCGGAAATTGAAACACTCATATGAAACTGAAGAAAGGCAGTTAGAACAGAAAGCAATTCAGGTAATAAAGAAAAATCCAAAATATTTCTTCTCATATGCGAAATCAAAAGCAAAAACCACTGCCAGTATTGGACCTATTCGTACAAGTGAAGGTTCATACACGGAGGATGACAAAGAAATTAGTGAAATCCTAAAAAAGCAGTATGAGGACATGTTTAGCACTCTAATAAACAACATGAAGGTGGAAGATCCAGACAATTTCTTTATGAGGGATATTCAAACCCCGGTAAATATAACCGATATAAACACGAGCGCACTAAATTTTGAAAAAGAAATTAAAAACATGCCCATGCACTCGGCCCCAGGTCCAGACTCATGGAATTCAATATTTATAAAGAAATGCAAAGTGCCGGTAGCACAGGCACTCGGTATAGTGTGGAGGAAGAGCTTGGACACGGGGGAGATACCAGATGCGCTTAAAGTAGCAGACATAGCCCCTCTACACAAGGGATGGAGCAAAGCATTGGCAAAAAATTATAGACCAGTTGCACTAACATCGCTCATCATAACAGTATTTGAGAGAGTGATTAGGAGTCAGGTCACCAATTTCATGGAGACCAATGACCTTCATAACCCAGGCCAACATGGATTTCGAGCGGGAAGATCGTGCCTCTCACAGCTACTTGAGCACTACGACAAAGTCACTGAGGCATTAGAAGAGAAACAGAATGCTGATGTGATATACACGGACTTCGCAAAGGCCTTCGATAAATGTGACCATGGCGTGATAGCACACAAAATGAAGTCAATGGGAATAACCGGTAAAGTAGGACGCTGGATACTCAGTTTTCTGTCAAACAGGACTCAGCGAGTAACTGTCAACCATATAAAATCTAGTCCAAGTGCAGTGAAAAGCTCTGTACCTCAGGGTACAGTCCTTGCACCACTGCTTTTCCTTATTCTCATATCAGATATAGACAAAAATACAAGTCACAGCTTCGTATCATCCTTTGCAGATGACAAAAATCAGTATGAAAATTACCTCGGCTGAGGACATTGAAAAACTTCAAGCTGATATTAATAAAGTTTTCGACTGGGCATCAGAAAATAACATGATGTTTAACAGTGATAAATTCCAGGTACTCAGGTACGGTAAAAATGAGGACCTTAAACATAATACAGAGTACAAAACACAATCAAATGTACCCATAGTAGGAAAACAGCATGTAAAGGATTTGGGAATAATAATGTCTGACGACCTAACGTTTAAGGAGCATAACCAAGCAAATATTGCGACAGCCAGAAAAATGATAGGATGGATTACGAGAACTTTCAAATCCAGGGATCCCATCACAATGGTTGTACTCTTCAAGGCACTTGTGTTGTCCCGTCTTTAGTACTGCTCAGTACTCACTTCCCCCTTCAAAGCAGGAGAGATTGCTGAAATAGAGGGAATACAGAGAACATATACGGCACGCATAGACGCAATAAAGCACCTAAATTATTGGGATCGTCTCAAAGCCCTCCAAATGTACTCACTAGAAAGAAGACGAGAGAGATATCAAATAATATACACCTGGAAGATACTGGAGGGCCAAGTACCAAATCTACACGGTAAAATAACAACGTACTGGAGTGAACGACATGGAAGAAAATGTAGAATAGAACCAATGAAGAGCAGAGGTGCCATAGGCACAATCAGAGAACACTGTATAAACATCAGAAGTCCGCGGTTGTTCAACGTCCTCCCAGCAAGCATAAGAAATATTGCCGGAACAACCGTGGACATTTTCAAGAGGAAACTAGATTTATTCCTCCAAGGAGTGCCGGACCAACCGGGCTGTGGTGGGTATGTGGGCCTGCAGGCCGCTCCAAGCAACAGCCTGGTGGACCAAACTCTCAAGTCGAGCCTGGCCTCGGGCCGGCCTTGGGGAGTAGAAGAACTCCCAGAACCCCATCAACCAGGTAAATGGGAGGGGAAAGAGCGATAGAGTAAGAAGTAGGGGCTGAGGAAGAAAGCAAAGCCTTCTAACCCTCCGGGGAGGAGGAAGGAGAGGAGCCAGGCTTACGCTTCTGACTTAAAGAGACAGGTGTCCCAGCAACTACGTACTGGACAACGGATTCCAGCATCTCGACAGGAGAAGCTGAACAAGAGCACACGCCGGCCATTTGGAGAGCGATGGACATCAGCCCGCACTGACAGGCGGCGGGGATAGTCAATGGAGAAGGATGGTAAGGAGGATCGGGAGACGAGGAAGACACAGGAGACATAGCAGACCGGGCAGAAAGAAGGGGAGCCCCAGACAGAGGACCAGGAGGGGAACCCTTCGGGACAGAACTCAAAGGAACAGAGGGGTCAGTGGGCGCATCTGGGTCCAAGGCCCGGAAACGGTCGTGAGTCTGAGGAGGGTAGGAAGGACGAGGAGAGGAAGAGCGCAACACGCGAGCACAAGAGACGTTAACATATGGCAGGAGCCGGCGAACCTGGCGCCTCGCCTCAGGAAAAAACAAACGCTCCCGGTGCTTCAAGTTTAGGACGGCCGCCTCAAGCTTGTAATGGATACACGCACGGGAGAAGGTAGGATGGGCCTCACCGCAGTTAAGACAGCGAGCCTGTGGAGAAGTGCACTCCAACCCCACCCAAAGGACAGAGACAGTCCCAGAGCAGCGGAGGGCACCATGCCCAATCCTCCAGCACTTATTATAGAGCAGAGGAGAACGAATGTACTCCTGGACAGAGCACCTGGCACCAGCAAGAATGACAGAGGGCGGAAGGGTCCTACCATCAGAGGTAATGTTCACAACCCGAAGGGGCGGATGGTGAACATGAGGGGGAGAAGTAAACGTAGCCACCGGAAGGACAGAATGGCCCTGGGCCTCGAGGATACGCTTTATATCTTCGTGGTAGTCCTTCAGATTTCGAACACAGGTTGCAACATAATGCAGGAGGAGGACCATGCCTACACTGGCATTTAAACGAGCGTTCTTGGGGAATCTGAACAGGGATCTCACTAATGCGGGATAAGGTGGCCAAGCGGGTGGCTGTATCCTGAGGAGCAGCAGCAAAGACACGTGCACCGAGACGGGTGGGGTTGAAGGTAACATGCATCTGCTGAATCAACATGATGCCTATGATGGGAAAAATTGTTATGAGGAGTTGAATCCAAAGGATGGAGGTCAAAGTACTTAGTCCACGTAGCAGTACCAAACAAGGCATGGTGAGAATCAGTATGGGAAGGGAGCATACGAGAGCGGCAGTGGCGGGGACGGCGGCGAGATCCTCTAGAGAGAAGAGTCATAAAGCACAGTAGTCGGTAAGAGATGGAGCCGTGCAAGGGGACGAGGCTGTCACCACAGCAGGCTTGGGGCTCTACCAAACAACCGAGGAGGGAGGAGTAGTCCGGTCTGGGCCTAAACCGAGCCCTGTAGCAGCGGGTACAGAGCCGTCTTCCAGGACAGTTCGACTCGGGGGGGGGGGGGGGGGCCTCGTCGCCTACCCCACGAGCCTAGGTAAGAGAAGTCTTGTCATCCATGCATCAATCAATTTAGAGGTTTGGGACCTGGAGCCAAGGGATACCACCTACCAAGGGAGTCAGGGAGGCCGAGCGCAGGCCAGTGCAGGAAGGGTGCGTCGTCCCCAGCTGAGCTCCCCTTTTCAACAGGGGAGTCCTACTACATCGTCTATTATCACACACTGGTGCTAAGACCCCATTGCCCCTATCGCCCCCAGCCTGGACACCCAATCATCCACTCAGGGAGGCCACTCACTTGCGACCCCTCCAGCGGGTTGTCCGATAGCTCACAAGGCCCCTACGTGGTGTCCATCAGCACGTACACCAAAGAAGAGGGGGGGGGGGGCAAAGGCAACCCACACCGGCCCCAGGGAGGTGTACGCGAGCCCCTCACCACGGCAAGGAGGCACTTCAAAAAAACGAAGGGAAGAAAAAACTATGCCTAATATTTTAACTATAAGACATATGCACGTGATACTTTCAAACTAACAGTACCCCGAAATCTAGCCTAGATCAGTCCAAGTATTAACAAGCTTTGACTAACATAGCTTAGTGTTATGCAATGAAATTATAACTAGCAAATATTCCTCACGCAAGTCATCCTAACCACAGCACCGCTGAAACTCTCACAGTTGCCAATAACAAAAACCTCTACAACATTACCCGCTGCTCTCACTTAACTAGTAGTTAAAGGTTGAGGTCCACCAGGGTACAGATCAGAGCCTAAAACATTTTAAGGTAATTTGCTTTCCTCCAGAAAGAAATGTCACTCACTCTGGTGGAATTAGTCATGGTATGATCACATGAAGCATTAGAAATATCCTGATGGCTGTCGGTTATCTCACTGATTAAAGTGCGAAACAACTAAAACATCCAGTCACTTGGATTATGTCTTAATATGGTTCTTTAAGGAAGAGAACTGCACTTGACCCGGACAAGCCAAAACGTTCACAGAATTCTAAAGCTCCAGCAACAATGCTAAAGTATTACAGTTGACTTTTCAATTAGAATCGACCATTTCCACACACCTTTCCTGAAGAAGTCTCCTTCGCTCTTCTGGGCACCTTGGTGATAATTTGCAGCATCTTTTTCACTTCGAGCTTTCATCGAGGAGAAAGAACAGTGTTCGGCAACCTGGCGAAAGGAACCAATATTATTACCACAACAGGTTCAAACTCTTGCCCCCCCCCCCCAAACATACATTCATACATACATACACACACCTAGACATTCCCTCCCCCCCACACACACCTGTGTGAGAAACGATGGGCAGAGTTTTTCCACCCTATGTCCGTTACCTAATAGTAAATAGGTACCTGGGAGTTAGGTAGCCGTCATGGGCAGCTTCCGAGCAAGCAAGCGAGTGAACGTACTCGCCTAGTTGTGCTTGCGGGGGTTGAGCTCTGGTTCTCTGGTCCCGCCTCTCAGCCGTCAATCAACAGGTGTGCAGGTTCCTAAGCCTATTGGGCTTTATCATCTACATTTAAAACTGCATGGAGTCATCCTCCACCACATCACTTCCTAATGCATTCCATTTGTCAACCACTCTGACACTAAAAAAAGTTCTTTCTAATATCTCTCTGGCTCATTTGGGAACTGTTTCCACCTATGTCCCTAGTGCGTGTGCCCCTTGTGTTAAATAACCTGTCTATCTACCTGTCGATTCCCTTGAGAATCTTTAATGTGGTGATCATGTTCCCCCTAACTCTTCTGTCTTCCAATGAAGTGAGGTTTAATTCCCGTAGTCACTCCTCGTAGCTCATACCTCTCGGCTCGGGTACTAGTCTGGAGGGAAACCTTTGAACCTTTTCCAGTTTAATCTTATGCTTTACTAGATATGGACTCCATGCTGGAGCCGCATACGCCAGGATTGGTCTGACATATGTGGTATATAATGTTCTGAAAGATTCCTTACACAAGTTTCTAAATGCCGTTCTTATGTTAACCAACTTGGCATATGCCGCTGATGTTATCCTCTTGATATGAGCTTCAGGGGACAGGTCTGGCATGATATCAACCCCCAGGTCTTTCTCTGACTCTGGAAGTATTTAGTCTCCCAATTGATGCCTTTTATCATGTCTCCTGCTTCCTACCCCTACCTTCATTACATTACATTTGCTTGGGTTAAGCTCTACCAACCATTTGTTCTTCCATTCCTGCAGCTTGTCCAGGTCTTCTTGACCTGGACAAGCTGCCCTCCTCTGTCTTAATCCTTCTCATAATTTTTGTGTCAGCAAACATTGAGAAGAACGAGTCTATACCCTCTGGGAGATCATTTAAGTATATCAGAAACAGGATAGGTCCGAGTACAGAGCCCTGTGGGACTCCACTGGGCATTCACTCCACTTCACGCCAATCCGAGGTCTCACCCTTCACTAACTGCTTCCTATTGCTTAGGTACTCCCTTATCCACTGGTGCGCCCTACCAGTTACTCCTGCCTGTTTCTCCAGCTTATGCATCAACCTTTTATGGGGTACTGTGTCAAAGGCTTTCCGACAGTCCAAAAAAATGCACCGCCCACCCTTCTCTTTCATGCTTAATCTGTCACCTGATCGTAGAATTCTACTAAGCCTGTATGGCAAGATTTACCGTCCCTGAACCCATGTTGAGGGGTTGTCGCAGTGTCGTCTACAGATGTGTTACTAGGTTTCTCACAATCTTCATCACCTTAATGGTATAAAAGTTAAGGAGACTGACTGTAGTTCAGTGCCTCTTCTCTGTCACACTGTGTATTGGGACTACATTAGCCGTCTTCCATATTTCTGGTAGGTCTCCCGTTTCCAGTGACCTACTACACACCATGGAGAATAGCAAACAAAGTGCTCCTGCACACTCAATACCCATGGTGAGATTCCGTCCGGCCCAACAGCTTTCCTCACGTCCAGCTCCAATAGGTGCTTCTTTACCTCATCACTTAATTTCGAACCTTTCCAAGGTCGCCTGATTTGCTGCCACCTCTCCTTGCGCCGTGATTCTTTCTATTGTAAAGACCTCCTGGAACCTTTTGTCGAGTTCCTCACACTTCTCATTCTCTGTGTACCTGTCCTCCCCCACCCTAAGTTTCATCACCTGTTCCTTCACTGTTGTCTTCCTCCTGATGTGACTAGTAATTTTGGTTCGGTCTTTTCTTTGTTAGCTATCATTTTCATACCTTTTCACAGCTGCTCTTCTCACTACCATACTCGTTCCTGGTTCTCTGGTATATCTCTACTCTCAGGTGTTCTGTTATTACGGAAGTTCCTCCATGCCCTTTTGTTCAGCTCTTTTGCTTTAATACATTCCCTAGCAAACCATGGATTCTTCCTTTGCTAATCTTTTTTTTCCTGTCGGCCCGGGACAAACCTGCTTTCAGCCTCCTGACACTTTTGGGTGACAGTCCATGTCTTGTACGGACTTGGTTCCGAGTTCTGTGTCCCATTGTATATCCCTTAGGAATTCCTTCATCTCCTCATAGTTCCCCTTACGGTATGCCAGCCCTTTGTTTCCTTGTTCTTTTTTGGGGGAGAATTCCTAGCTCAACCAGGTACTCAGAGCTCAATACACTATGATCACTCATTCCCAGAGGGGCTTCCAACTTAACTTCCCTTATATCCTACTCATTTAGAGTAAATATTAGATCAAGCAAGGCTGGTTCGTCCTCGCCTCATTCTTGTCGGTCCCTTGACGTGTTGACTGACAAAGTTTGTTGCCACGTCCAGCAGCTTAGCTCTCCATGTGTCTGGTCCTCCATGTGGGTCTTTGTTCCCCCAATCTATCTTCCCATGGTTGAAGTATCCCATGATTAGTAGTCTGGATCCGTTCCTGCTAGCCACAGAAGCTGCTCTATTATATTGATGGTGGCCATATTGTTTCTATCATATTCCTGTCTGGGTCTTCTGTCGCTCGGTGGGGTGTTATAGATGGCTACTACTATAATTTTCTGTCATCCAGTTACTATGGTGCCTGATATGTAGTCACTGAAACCTTCACAGTTCTGATTTACTATCTCTTCAAAACTCTAACCTTTTCTTATCACCAAAGCTACACCACCACCTCTCCCTTCTCTTTTTCCTCACTACATAATAGTCGCGTGCGTGTGTGTGTGTGTGTGTGTGTGTGTGTGTGTGTGTGTGTGTGTGTGTTGTAGAAAAAAAATTAGCAGCAGCAGAAACGGTTTACTGACAGTTGAGAGGCAGGCCGAAAGAGAAGAGCTTAACCCCCACAAGTGCAACTAGGTGAATACCTAGACATCTGCCAAAGCCCCCCTCCACCCCAACCCCCCCCCCCCCCCCACACACACACATACCTAGACATCCCCCCCCCCACACACACGCACACAATGATGTGCGGGGTCAGTAGCTGACTGGAAAGCACACTGGATGCATGATCCAGTGGTACTGGGTTCGATTCCCAGCGCCGGCGAGAAATTATAGACAGTTTCCTTCACCCCGATGCACATGTTATCTAGCAGTAAATAGGTACCTGGGAGTTGGACAGGTGCTACGGGCTGCTTCCTTTGTGTGTGGTATGTAAAAAACAAACGATAGTTAGTAACAGTTGACAGTTTAGAGGCGGGCCAAAAGAGCAGGGCTCAACCCCCCCGCAAGCACTACTAGGTGAATAGAACTAGATGAATACATACACCATGACAACCGTCCCCATGCACCTGGGGCCAGACACCCGAGTGGACAGCGCTCGGGACTATCTTAGGGAACTGGGATTGATCCCTGGCGATGGCAGAAACAAATGAGCAGAGTTTTTCACCCTGATGCCCTCTTTACCTAGCAGTAAATAGTACCCGGGAATTAAACAGCTGCAACCGACCGTCAATTAAAAAAAAAAAAAAGGCACAGTCCGCATCGCGTCTTACCCAGGTCTCTCGATTCTAAGCTAAGCCAATGAGTAATGTGCAGTATATTGTACATTTTATTCATACGAGGTTTATTACTATACTCCCATTCCACCATTCACATACTTCCTTCACATCACGTTAATCTGTAACTAAAGAGTCAATTTAATCGTCAATACACTTTCAAAGTACCAATGAGCAATTGGTATTTATCACTCTACAACGCTCCATTTGTGTTTTCTTCAATGAATAAACTCCCTCTGCCAATCTTCCGTAAATTTTTAAACCCTTAGGTAGTCTTTTGTCCTTTGTGTTCACAATTCATGTTCTGCCCAATTTGAGTAGTTTGAACATTAGCAAATAATGCTGTATTAACGTGGCCATAATAAATGTAATATTGCTAAATAGGTCCCAGAACAGCCCTGGGGCAACACCTCCCTCAACTCAGTAAATGGGATAAAATATTTATACCAGACTAGTTCTGAGAGCCAACTTAAGCCAGCATCCCTTATACCGTGAGCTACCCCCTAGAACCGTGAGTTAACTTCGAAATGTGAAATCATTAATAGGAGGAGTAGTCATGACACTTACATTATCAAGCTGCTGTTGGGAGAGGTTGGTGCCCAACAGCTCATTCAGTTTTCCAAGTTCCTTCTTTATGTCAGCTTTAAAGTCTTCATAAAAGACAAAGTGCATATAGGGCTCATCCTTTTGCCCCCAGGCCATCATCAGGTTGGGCCAGTAGGGACAGTACAACACTGTAGATAGGAATTACGTTTAACTCAATGTTTTACATGTGTAAACAAAAGGTTAAGCCTTTAAATTTTGCAATATATAGGTATCTCCAAAATATAATTGTATAATAAGCTATATGAAATGCAGTTATTTCCGATACTGAAGAAATTATCTTAAGAACACATTAATATTTGATAATTTTTTAGAAGTTAAAATTTCAAGAAGACAATAGGAGTTATTGCAGACCTCAATATCGCACTCTATTACACTACTACCGAGGAGAACTGCAACAAACTGTCAAGAAAACCTAATACTTGCACTTGTGGTCAATACTAACCACCTACACTAACTGGCTAGAGCAGCCTGATCCCATTTGTCCAAACACAGAAGGTACCCACCTACAACACTGCACAACACTCAAACCTGAACACAGTATGCGGCCCCAGCATGAAGCCCGTACCTTGTCAAGCACAAGACCAAGATTGAAAAAGTTGAGGTACGCCACTAGGTCAGTCCCAGAACCAAGAGGCACAAGTTACTAGGAAAGGGCGAGCGAACTTGACGTAGATGGAAGACTAAAGACCTCGGGGACACGTGATCACTACATACAAAATTCTAGAGGGAATTTACAGGGTAGACAAGGATATATTTAAAAAAAACTGGTGGTACACTCACAAGGGGAACAGGTGGAAGCCGAGTACCCAAATAAGCCACAGCCTGAGAAAGAACTTTCAGTGTCAGTAGTTAGTAATGGGATTGCACTAGAATGTGGGGGAGGCCGACTCCATATACAACCTCAAATGTAGATATGAGGGCGCTTCAGAAGCTCAGAAATCTATTCAAGAGTAGATTGACGGGACGAAAGAGCCAAAGTAAGTAAGTAATTATCAAAAGAAGGCACCAAACCGGGAAGGCTATGTAGCACCATCAAATACGCAAAATAATCAGAGGGCGCTAAATATCACCAAGGATGCCAATACGAGAACAAAAACGCATAAGGCGAACGATATCAAAAGTATCCGAGTCACCAAGAATTCTATCGAGGGACAGGTGACCGCGAGGGGCGGTCGGAAAGCAAGACACACGCTCGTCCTGGAAGTCAGGACATTCAAGAAGGACATGCACGACCGTAAGAGGGACAATGCAACTAGGACAATAAGGAGCAGGGCGGCGCTCCATCAAGTGACCATGGGTTAAGCGAGTATGGCCAATACGCAACCTCGCTAGAGCTGTTTCCCACCGCCGGTTACGGTGGAAGGAGGACGGCCACGAGGAAACACAACATTTAAGAGTACGTAGCTTGTTACCAGTAACAGACAACCAAGAAGCCTGCCAACGGGTAAGGACTGAGGAATGGATAACCGGGTAAAAGTCGGAATACGGAATGCCTTTACGAGAGATGGGACAAGAGCGGACAGCGTCCTTAGCGGCAGCATCCGCACGCTCATTTAAAGACACGCCAATATGGCTGGGAACCCAACAAAACTCAACCGACTTAAATTTACTGTGAACGAGAAACAGCCAATGCTGGATCTCGACAACTACCGGATGAACTGGATTAAAGCACCCGAGAGCCATGAGGGCACTACGAGAGTCAACAACAACCACAAAGGAAGACTGACAACGAGAAAGCAGGAGACGAAGAGCATAGAGAATAGCATAAAGTTCCGCTGTAAAGATGCTAGTCTCCGGAGGCAAGCGACACATATAAGTGCGATCAGGAAAAACAACAGAGTAGCCAACACCGTCCGCTGACTTAGACCCATCGGTGAAGACAGAAACGGAGCGGGAGTGAGAAGAAAAGTGCTCGAGGAAAAGGCGTTTGAGAACTGTAGGAGGGGTAAAAGCTTTAGTGATGCGAGTCAAGGATGTACAAAACCGCGGAAGAGGGACCCTCCACGGGGGCAAAGAAGGAACAACACGAGGAGAAACATCAGAAATACGAACGGAAAGAGAATCCTGCAGGCGAGATAACCGGACAGAAAGAGGGAGGTGGTGAAGAGGAACAGGAACCGCAGGAGGGGTAAAAGTTAAAGCACGACAGAGACGAGAGGAAGGATGTTGCAAGGACCGCGCAAGATACCGAAGACAGTAGCGATCACGGCGGTCCTGGAGAGACAGGAAGCCAGTGTCAACATACAAGCTAAGGACGGGAGTCGAACGAAAGGCACCAGAACTGAGGCGCAACCCAGTATGGTGCAAAGCATCAAGACGGCGAAGAGTAGAAGGAGAAGCAGACGAGTAAGCAGGGCAACCATAATCGAGCTTAGACAGGACGAGAGAGGAATGTAAAGCAAGGAGAGTGCGCCTATCTGCCCCCCAAGAAGTATGGGACAAGACCCGAAGGAGGGTAAGGGACTTAGAGCACTCAACACGGAGGTAAGAGATATGGGGAGACCAAGACAAACGAGTGTCAAGGAATAACCCCAAAAGCTTCGCGGAATCTTTGTATTCAAGGGGATGACCATAAAGTGACAAAGAGGGACGAAGAACAACCCGTTTCCGCGTAAAAGTCATGGCACAAGTCTTAGAAGTAGAGAACTTGAAGCCATGACCTGTGGCCCAAGACGACACGGCATCAATCGCAAGTTGAAGCCGGCGTTGAAGGAGAGGCGAATCATCACCCTGACAACAAAGGGTAAGATCATCGACATAGAGAGCGGAGAAGACACCAGAAGGAAGAGAGGAAAGAAGACCATTGAGGGCAACCAGAAAAAGAGTAGTGCTCAGAACACTACCCTGGGGCACACCTTCGTATTGCCGAAAAGGGGGAGAGAGAGCGGTACCAAGGCGCACCCGAAAGGAACGACGAGAGAGGAAGCTGCGGAGAAAGAGAGGGAGATGACCACGAAGGCCAAAAGAATGAAGTTGAGATAGGATATGATAACGCCAAGTGGTGTCGTAAGCCTTTTCTAGGTCAAAAAGGACGGCAACAACGGAGGTCTTCGCAGCAAAAGCAGTACGTATATAGACCTCCAAGTTCACCAGGACATCTGTCGTGCTGCGGCACTTGCGGAAACCAAATTGAGAAGGGGAGAGGAGGTGATGGTGTTCCAGGAACCACATCAGACGAACGTTAACCATACGTTCAAAGAGTTTGCAGACACAACTTGTGAGAGCAATAGGGCGAAAGTCCTTAGGGGAAGTACCCAGAGACCCTGGTTTGCGAACAGGGAGGACAACGGCATCGAGCCAGTCCTCAGGGACAGACGACGACTCCCAGATCCGATTATACAGACTCAGTAAATACTGAGACGTGCTCGGAGGGAGATGGCGAAGCATCTCATAATGAATACCATCGGAGCCCGCCGCCGTAGAACCGCAGAGGGCCAGGGCAGAACGAAGTTCAGAGAGAGAGAAGGGATCATTATAGGGAAGCTGAAGATGAGTGCAGAAATCTAAAGGACGAGACTCAAGGACAGGTTTACGAAGAAGGAAAGATTGGGGAAGATGAAGACCAGAGCTAACAGAAGAAAAGTGGGAACCCAGTTCGGAAGCGACCTGCAACGGGTCCGCCACAAGAGTATCATGGAGGTGAAGGACCGGTGAAACATCGGGAACGAACTTACCCGCTATCTTGCGGATACGCTTCCAGATCTGGGCCAGAGGGGTTTCGGACGTAATTGTCGAGACATAAGAAGCCCAACATTCACGTTTAGCCGTACGGATGGCCCTACGGGCCACCGCACTCGCTTTCCGAAAGAAAAGAAAAGAATCGGTCGTCTGCCTACGGCGGTGCTTCTTCCAGGCTGCACGCTTACAGCGGACAGCCCGAGCACAGTCCGCATTCCACCAGGGAACGCACTTCCGTGGACCCCGAGAGGAAGAGCGAGGAATAGAGCGGAGGGCAGCGTCGAAGACAGTGTCATGAAAAAGGAGGAGAGCGCGAGAGAGGGGCAGAAGGGAGAGGTCAGAGAGAGTAGCACTGAGGGAAAACAGGGTCCAGTCCGCCTTAGCAAACTGCCATCTAGGGAAAGAGAGGGAAGGGCGAAAAGAGAAAAAGGAAACAAGGATGGGGAAATGATCACTTCCATGGAGGTCATCAAGAACCTGCCATGTGAAATCTAAGTAAAGAGAAGAAGAGCAGAGAGAAAGATCAAGACAAGAAAGGGTGCGAGTTCGAGAGTCCAAATGAGTGGGCTCACCAGAATTCAGAAGAGACAGGGAAGAAGAGAGGAGAAACGGCTCAAGGAGGCGACCCCGGGTATTCGTCAGAACGTCACCCCAAAGAGAATGACGACAATTGAAGTCACCCAGCAGGAGCACAGGCTCCGGCAAGGAGTCTAGGAGGTGTTTCAAATCAGGAAGAGAGAGCGGGACACTCGGGGGGAGATAAATGGAACAAACTGTGTACCATTTCCCCACAAAGATACGAGCAGCAGAACAATGGAGAGGCGAAGGAAAAAGTAAAGGAACAAAGGGAACATCAGCCCGAATCAAGAGAGCAGAAGAATTAGAAGCCCCAGCAATGGCTGGGGGGGGGGAGAGAAAGGAATAGCCACGAAAACGACCAGGACGAGCACCAAGCATCGGCTCCTGGAGACAGACACAAAGGGGCGAAAACCGCGAAACCAGAAGTTGGAGTTCGAGGAAATTGGCGTAATAACCTCGAACGTTCCATTGAAGAATGGACAACGACGAGAAGAGAAAGGACAAAAACAGAGAACAAGGAAGAAACAAAGGCGAAAGACCAACAGAGCACGTTAAAGAATATCAGGGTCGGGATCAGGGTCAGCAAAGTCAGGGTTAGGGGGCATGGGTAAACTGAGCAAAGACGGAGGGAAGGAAACGGGAGAACAGATCAGAGGTGGGCGGGCAGGGTCCGGAGGAGGAGGAGGAGGAGGAGGAGACAACGGAGAGGAGCAGTCAAGGACAGCAGCAGGAAGAGGGGGAGTAGAAAGAGAGGAGAGCACCCCAGCAAGAGCAGCAACCGAAAGGGAAGCAGGGGCCAAAGAAACCTCCATAGCAGGAACAGGGGGCGCAAGCACTGAAACGGGAGTGGAAGGAGCAACAGAGCCAGAAG